TTCCCCTGCCGTTCGCGCACGCCCTCAGTACGATCACGTTCCTCATGCCGGTGCGCGAAACGTTTGGATCACGAGAAATCACGATATCGTTACGTATAGCATACTTGGGCTCTACCTGTCATACATAGATTCCACGTATCCACGTTACAAGTCTAATCGATGTGTGCGGGGCGGTATGTATTATCGATTCTCTACGATCTCGGCCAGGTCTTGTAACGGCCGCCAGTTACGAAAATGGAGAAGCGCTGACTTTTTCCTCAGCGAACAGAAGGAAATCGTTTTTTTTTTCTTTTCTTCCTCTTCTTTGTTTTTCACGGAAAATAGTAGTGCGCGTTCGGAAGGTGGAATACGGTTCTCGAGGTGTGACCGAGTCGCGATCAGTCGAGCATGAGGGGACGGTAGAAATTGGGAAAGAAAGAACGGAGCGGTGTGGTGAGGAGTAAGAAGAAAGGGGGAAAGGAAAAATGCTCGGCAGATCACAGACGGCCTAATTAAAAGGTTCGCCGTCACGCGGAATCTTCTTTCTTTCGTTTCAGCGAGAGCAGGTTGCGGTAAGATCTCAGGAAGCCGACGTCTCTCTTTCCTTTTGTCCTGACTTTAACCCTGTCTCGCATACACGTATCTATGAACATCCGTTCGTGCTTGCTTGGTAATGAGCCGGCGGGGTGTCCTCTTTCGAAACGTTGTTGCCCCTTCTTGTAGGAGCGGAGATAAAAGAGGTATACACGCAGCACACGTGTGTGCAGAAACACACACGCACACACACACACACACAGAGAGAAAGAGAGAGAGAGAGAGAGAGGGAAGACATTGGATATTTGCGTAAGCGTAGCGCTATCTATACCGTAACCGAGGTGTATAACGTGTTTCTTTCCTCTACAAATGAAAAGTTTCCTCGGAAATGGAAATTTCTTCCCTTTACGGAATCCTTCCCGTCTACTTCCGATCGTTCACGATCGAAATGTTAAATTACGCGTTCGTTCGTATTGTTGTTTCCGCGAACGAACCGAACCAAGCTTTCCGTGAAATCCAGCTGCTCCGGGAAAGACAAAGTTTAAAGAACCTTCAAGAACTGACCAATTAAATTACAATTCGTAAATTAACTTTGGCAATTATGAGTGGGCTTCGAGAGCGGTGCGATGAGGAAGGGTTGGGCAGAGCTGGGATTACAAATGAGACGGCGGGAACTTGACAACTTTTCAGTCGCTTTTTATACAACTTTCCTCGTTAAGATCCTGATTATGAATTTTCTATTTGATCACCCTCCGAGTTTGCTCGTTTTTATTGCTTAAGTAAGTTATTGCTTGTTTTTGCAATAGCTTGGTAAAAAAGTTGGAGAGCTTGCATTCAAGTGTCAGGCACGTGTTGCTTTTCTGTTTATACGCTTGTCATGTTGCCTTGTCATTTTACAAGATTTAAAAAAGGATCGGTAGAAATTGGGTAAAAGAAAAAGGGCGGAAAACGGCAGAAAGATAGATAGATATGGGAGATGTATTATCGCATACCTGCGCTATCGCAACGGTAGCGTTGCAAACGGTACTTTCGGATAATCAGCATTTGTGTAATTCTCTTTTGCTCTTTGTGTCATTCGTCCGTCTCCACTGGTCGAGGTATGTATCTCGTTCCGTTCCATTCCGTTCCGTTCAATCCCGCGTCGCGTCCGTTTCTCCTGAATCCATTTCTCTCCTCGCCTCTCCCCTCGCCGTTGCCGGTTCGCACCGCTCAACTCCCCAACAGTTGCAGCCAGTGTGACTATGGTCTCCGACGGCCGGTCGCTCATCCCTTCGTCTCGTCTCCGTCCAACACGCGGAAACTATTATCCTCTCTTCCTCACTCTCGCCCTCACGCCTCTCATTGTCTCACTTTCTCCACCGTCCGGTGTTCTCGGTCGCGATAGCATAGCTCGATCTCGTTCCATCGCGCACTCGAGACACGCCTCCCACTCGTGGCGCGCGACCGCTGTTGGATTCAGTCGACGCCGAGCCGGCACGCGTGATGGATGAATATTTTCTCGCGTGATCGTCGCGTTGTGCCGCATCGTCTCGCCTTGTCTTGCCTCGCCTCGCCTCGCCTCGTCTTGCCTCGCCTCGCCCCGTCTTGCCTCGCCTCGCCTCGCCTCGCTTCCCTGCGCGTCCAGTTGCGAGTTTCTCGAAAGTCTCGTCAACGCGTGTAAACGGGAAAGTCGGGAGTCGCGTTCTACCGTGTGTGTACGGTTTTCTGTTTGCCTGTGTCCGTGGACCCGCGAGGACGCGCGCAGCGATGCTAGATCAGCGGAGTGACGAGGATCCAGCCGCCTCCTCGTGCCGCGTGTGAGTGCGATACTTCTGGCCGTTTCGAACAAGTGGAAACAAGTGGAAGAGTGGAAGGTTCGCCGGCGTAATTGCTTTCGTTCGGTTGCCGTTTTATACTCGGCTTCTTTCAACGGGTTCCTCGTCCCGCTGCTTCGTGATACAGGCAGTAACACGTTCGAAGCAATCTTGTCTTGGACTATCTTCCGCCGTTTTTCCCGATAAAACGACCCTGTTAGACATGGATTTCGTGATTTTGAAGGTAAGCAGTTTTTCCGTATTCCTAGCCGCGCGTTGTTTTCCGTTCGTTTATTACGTTACGATTCGTGATCTATTCTTTTTCACCGGCATCGTAATTGAGGTTGAAAACACTAGTCGGGAACATCGAAGCAGTTTCGCGTTATTTATTTCGAAACTATCGTACGTCCCCTTCTGTAAGCTGGAATGTCGTTGAGCGATTGTAACGTAGTAACATTCGAGGTGTCGTTCAGAACGTATCTTATCGTTTCGAAGAAGGAGAAGAATAACAACAACAACAGAGGGAAAAGTTGCAGTCGGTGCAAATAGTTTTTGTCGACCGAACGATGAACAAGGAAGCATGAGGTTTGTTTTGTTGGAGAAACCTTGGGATCGCGTGACGGCGAGGGAGGTGGCGGGGCACAGCGGGGGAGGAGAAGAAGAAGGAAGGGCAGAGACCGAGAGAGAATCAGAAGAGCTCGTAGGACAACACGGTTAAGCATTCGCGGATAAAAGTTCAACTCTCGGCTGTTGTACAATATTTCCACCGTCTTTCTTTTCTCGAGGATTCCCCGAAGCGTGTACGAATAATTGGGGTTGACCAGCGACCCAGTTATCGCTTTATTCTTATTCAACTTACACCGTCGAAACTCGAATTTTAAGAGGACGTCCCGAGATAATAGGTGTTCGGTAATTCGCTCAAATGTTCACATTTTCATTTGTGTATCGAAGCGAGAAAAGGGAGGAAAAGGGAGTGGGAGAGATGATCCGTTGGCGGGACATGTAGGGAACGGTGTGAACAGGCCGATTACGAAGCGGTGAAATTTTGCGTTCCGTTGATCGTTTCGCGACATAAATACCTATACATATATGTATATGTACAGTATAGAAGGTAGGTATGTAGTTGGAAGCGTAGCAGAACGCGTGGTAAGGTCGTGGACCTTGCGTGGCGTGATGTGAGCTCGAAGAGGAGAAACGTAATAACAGGTCCGCGTGCAAAGCGTGTCGTTGGACGCACCTGCGTTTACCTTTTGTTCTTATCGTTGAAGTTGGTAGGGCAAGTTTGCGCTATGTAAACAGAACGATAAAGGAATTGGTAGGAAACGGTGTGGCGTGACCAGGACGGGACGTGCGTTTGAGTACGTTGGCATTCCGTTTAATTTTAGCGCTTCCGATGCGACCTAGGGGATGGCGTATATTTTTTTCCTTCCGATTTCTTTCTGCCACCGTTCCGCGAGATTTCCAACTGGGGGGAATCTGTACCGTCGATATTCGTCTTTCAATCGACAAACAGACAGATAAGATGCTCGCACGTGCAGAGCGATGGAAGGAAGGGAAGGAGGAGAAGGAGTTGACGTGCGCGATTGCCACGGAACGAGAGAAAGGGCCGTTTAAGAAGTAGTGGTAAGCGTGAAATAATAGCGAAATAGCGTGTTTGAAGAACGTCGCCTCGGGATGTCGGTAAAATGTCTCGGTGCGTTTTCGAGCGTTTTCGAGCGTACTCGAGCCGTTGCGGATGATAGCGGAATGTGGACCCTCCTGTGAGAAAAGTAAAAGCATCGTAGGTACGTTGATTACCTACCCGATGGAAGCATCGGTGAAATCTTGCAAGTACGTATTTATACTTTGCTCCGATTTTTTACGGATTCGATTGGCGCGCGCGTATCGCGTGACACGATGCACTCTACGCGACCTCCGCTTTTCTTAACGTACCTAACAGTCTCTTCGATCCATCTTCAAACGCTTACCTACTATGTATTTACAATGTTGCGCTTTATTTTTCACGACGTGAAAACCTTCAGCTAGTAGTATGTGTGTACGAATGTGTAAACGAAAAGGAGAAACGTATGGTTGTAGCCGTGTTACGATACTCGCGCGATTTCCAATTAGTTGGCTGGTAGGTAGCGTCTTGTTGTAACGAGACGCGATCGCGTCGACGAAACGCGTAAAGTGTTCATTACAGGGAGTGGAGAGCAGAAGGAGGAGCTGGAGAGGGATGGGATGGGATGGGGAGTGGAGAGGATAAAATCGCAAAAATTACTTGACAGCTGGGAACGGTGGAAATATTTTAATTCTTTCTCCGAACACTCCCCGCACTCGAGATAATTGCCATTTGCGCCAATAAAGCCGGAATCTCGGCAGTTCCTCCTACCTACCCCTCCAGTCCCTCGCCGTTCTTTTCCCCTTTTTCCCTTCCTTCTCCGTTCTGCTCCGTTCTGCTGCTGCCACCCCGCGCTAGCATTCCTCGCGTTCTACCTCTCCTATATACTACGTATACGTACTCACCACGTCTCTCGGATACCCTTCTTCCCGACACGGTACCACGTCTTTCTCATTCACTTTCTTTCCTCTTTCTTCTTTTCTTCCTTCCACTCGTCTCTCCTCTCCCCACCATCCTTCGATACTATCTGGCTGCATCGAGAGATTCTACGATCGTCGGTTAACGACCTTTTCTTTCCCAGCTGCCTGGCAATCGTCCAAACATATTAGCGAGAGGATTTCTTTATTTCCCCGTGGGTGATAAGAGAGGAGAAGAAAAGAGTGGCGCCGCGGCTTTTCCTACCGCTATGTTTACAGCGTGGCATGTAAATGTAGTTGTTGCTCGATAAATTGATACAGGATACAGCTTGACCGTACATACGTGTATTTTTATCGATCGTTGAACGCGCGCAGCGTGGCATCGTAAGTTGGTCGGGACGTTTTAATTAAACGACAAGCAGCACCAGCTTCCGATCACGAATATTAATCGCGTAATTTTGAAATCGCCGATGAACATCGCTAATCGCTTTCCGTTCGTTTATCGATTCGTTCTACGTTCGATCTTGTCATGCTAGACAGAACTAGCAAGGTTGGCGTTGATTAGATCTCGAAGCGTCAGCGAAGCGACAAAGGTGGGCGGAGAGAGCAGATGGCTCGCAGAACGGCTGAAACAGAAATTAGAATCCGACTTTAGATTGCGTTTAGAGAGAAATATCGTCGCGGTTGGTGCGAAAGGTCGGCGGGTAATTTTCGTTTGGCTTCTCGAATTACGTGGACGTTTGTCGAAAAGTGGGCCGAGTAGGTATGCACAGCTGGGGAGAGAAGGAAAAGTTTTCAGCCGAAAGAGGTGGATCGTGTGACCGGAGATTGGCGCGGATGGGCGATAGGGGCGATGGTTGGGGAATGCCGGTACGTGTGTATGCACGAGTTTGCCCATCTCTCCCTCTTGTTTCTTTCTCGCGTTTCATCGGCGGCCACTGGACCGCGAGTATATTTCATCCGCTTCTTTCCCTGTTCCCTCTGTTGGTCGTCGACGGTGCAGCGTATTTGTACATATGTAGTTTACAGCAGACTGCAACCGGATATTTTTGGAGCGAGCACGATGTCTGGGGGATGGATTCGAGGATGGTTCTGCGAGACAACGGGGGGTGCTGCTGCTGCTGCTGCTGCTGCTGCTGATGATGATTCTTTTAACTTGGTTACTCGGGCGAACTCTTGAGCTAGGCTTTTCCTAGCGTTTATTCAAAATATTCTTGGCTGGGTACGATTCGATCGTACGACTAATCACTTTCCGCGGCCATTTTTTTCTTCTTGTCCGTTGGAGAAGAGGCATCGTTAACCGGATATCGATTCTGCGAGCAACCGGGTTCAGCGTTTGTCGAAAGTGGATTCGCCGTGGTCGGAGCTCGTTAGCGCGCTAAAACTCGTTTAGTAGCGATAATAATGCGTGTCGAGCAGCGTGGAAAATGGTGGTTGGAACAAAAGGAAAGAGGGAGAATTGTGGATATTTTTCTGAGAATCGGCACTACTCGATTCGGCCTAACGATGGTTGGTTGGCCGGTTCGCTCGATAATCCGAAAGATGCGTTTAACGGTGAAAACAATGGGCGAAAATGAAGGATCGGAAAGGCGAGAGGGAAAGTTGCAAAGGGGGTGTGGGTCCGGTGATAAAATTCATCGCGTTACGTTCGAGACGTTAAACGTCAAAGTGAAGTAAAAAGAGTGGAAAGCTTAGGTTGGGCGATGGTGGTTAATTTTTCGTAGGGAGAAATGGGTCGGCCGAGAGGGAAGGGAAAGGGAGAGGTGGATGGGGAGGTAGATGGGGAGATGCATTTATCGTCTTTATTACGAGCGTCGGGAATGAGGAGTATTCGGTAACTATATTCGAACACGAAATCATTAAATAAAGTGGGCTTAACGAATGCACGAGTGCATAATCGTTGCTTGCGCCTCCCGTGCTACATTTGCACGCGTTTCCCCGTTTACTTCCACGGCCGCGACACCCTCGAATCGCGTCAAATTAATTTCGTTGAGCGTCTCTGCCTTCCATTATCCCGCACGTACACGTATACGTATTCCCACGGAAGGAACTGGAGAACACGCGAACGAACAAGAGTTATTCCCCGAGCCATTTTCAGTCCAAAGATGATATCGCGTATCGACGAGTCCCCTACGAGTCCCCATCCTAACGATCTCAAAGCGCAACTCGTCTTGGTTATTTAACCCGAAACGTTGCCAAAAGCCGAGAGGAGAACAACAGGAAGAAAGGGATTTCGAGTGGAAAGTATGCGACGCATATTTTTTCCTCTCTTTGTAAGATATGTATATAGTAGATACCTACGTATGGAAAGCTGCCGCGCGAGATGAATATTCAGCGGACGTCGATGGTAATGCGCGTGTCCTTCTTTCGAATCTTCAACCGGCGTGGCTCCGTATCTCTACCGCGAGATATTATACCTATGTATATACCTATTTGCCGTTTAACGGTTGCTGGTGCGACACCGGCGAAGCACCGATAAGGAAATTGTTAAGGAAATTCCAGTTTAACGGGGAAGAGGGAAGAAAGGCGCGGCGTAGAGGAAGACGAAGAGGTGGGCTAATTGGATCACAGGGTGCGCGGAATGCGTCGACGTTCGTGTATACACGCGTCGCTGTTCGAAACTTGGAAAGTACTTGGACCGTTACCCGAACGCGACGGCATAATTTACGAACATAGTTTACGAATTACGTTGTAATCGTGTTAACGTTTCGGAGCGTGTTCGGTTTA